ATGATGTTTTTATAATGAGGATAAAAACAATATCAATCAATTTTATTTGAATAAACAACGATAGCTTAAAAATGAAGGTAATTAAACAAAATATAAATGAACATTTGTTAGTCTAATATTAATCAATTAAAAGCTTATCGTCTTTTTCTTTTTTAATAATGAATGTATTACATTATTTCTTTAATAAGAACAATCAGATTTTCAGATTAAGTTTCTTTGTAGACTTATAAATTTCATCAATTAAAGAAAATTATACAAAAGAATAACAAAAAAAAAAGTGAACGAGAATTTTCATTATAATCAAGAGTTTTTTTTTTTAGAAAAAAAATCTTTAAGATTTTATACTCGTTCACATTCAGCTGATTTTGAATGTATTCGAATTAAATTAAGAATGACATCTCTTGGTGATCTACAACAATAGAAAGAGAAAACAAATGAATACTGATCGATATAAAATTGGATGGAAATTAGAGTCGTATTTCAAAACTAATAGTTTGACTTACTAATCTATGGAAATATTTTATTCAGTGTGAGGATCAAAGAGGTAGCGCCCCTCCGTATAAGAACATCATAGGAAGCTGTCTATAGAGAAAATTGTTATCTTTCAATCTACACAAGGCTGACACTTCTAGCTTGTTCCATTCGAGAGTTATAAAACTTTGCCTGAGACTCCCAGTTTCAGTACTCAGCATGGTAAATTATTCTTAATTAACTGATTTTTCCGAGAGATCAAAGGTCGATTGGCTGAAATCGGAGGTATCAGGAAAAGTCTTAAAACTCTCGAATTGAACAAACTAAAAATATCAGCCCTGTGTAGATTGAAAGAGAAGTTTTTTTTTCTATCGATTCGTTTTATTAAAAGTCTATTCCGAAAACTCAACTAATTAGTCAATTGCTGACTAATCGAATTTTGATATAATTCGATGACCTCGAAATTTCTCTCTTGAATGATGAAAACCGTAGGTCTCTATTATATTCCGATCAAAAGTTATTCAAAAACCAGTGAAGTGCATTATATTGTGAAATATTGATATTGACTATTTTTACGACGTGTCGATTTCAAAATCAATTGAATAAAATTTAGTATAATGTCGAAAAGTTAAGAAAATCTTAACATAGTTGAAGCGATGTAACTCATCATCAAGATGCATGATAGTAAAAATGTTTGAATATCTCTACTCTATTTTAATCAAATAGGTTAATCCTTTTGTTAATGAATGAAGTATGTTCAAAGATTTCCTTCATATGAGTAATATTAACAAAAGCAGCATTATAATATTATAATCAGCTTCAAAAAGACAAGATGATGTTGAACAATTCTCGAAAAAAAAAATCATAAATAAATAAATGAAGACTTTGATTTGTAAGAGGTTTAGTTTTATCTCAAACAAATTGAACTCTGAATAGTTTGAAATAAAAATAAACTTACTGAACTGATAAGAAACTTCTTCTTTAAAGTAATTATTTTGAATATACATGTGCATAATATTTCTATAGGTCACATTTTCTTGAATGTGTTAAGTTCTCCATACATATCGATCACAACAACTTTTTGCTTTTCCATCTTTGTTGATATCAGCCATTGTCATAGAAATCATATGACGGTTATAACGACTAAAGTTCATTAACATTGAGAATTTCGGACATAAATCGCATATAAAATAAAAATAGTTTTATCATCTAGACAAATTATAAAAAAGAATCGTCTTAATCAGTGTATTTTGTCATGTAACTATGAAAGTTACATTTAGTTATAAACAATACTTTGTCTTTTTTACTAAACATGGAATCTTAATTATTGCATATGGTGAAACACGATCTAAAAGAGAGTGTTGAAGTGTTTAGGGGTAGAAATTCGGACCCCCCCCCCCCCCCACAGACCGTGACAGAGAAATTCCATGCCCATCAGAGACCATGATAGAGAACTCCCAAAGACCATCACAGAAAACCTCCAGAGATCATCGCGGACCGTGACAGAGAACTTCGAAACACCATCACAGACCGTGAGAGAGAACCCACAAAGATCATCACAGACCGTGACAGAGAACTGCCAAAGACCATCACAAACTATAACAAAGAAACTGTAGATTTGAAGCATCAAATGAACGATCAGCTACAAATCTATCATAAAGAAATGGAAGAAAACGGTGTCCATTTAATTCGTAACAATAGGTCCATCGTGTTTCACACTTTTAATCCCGCAAGGGATTGCGCTAACAGCTTTTTTATGATAGTACACATTTTTTTTTGTCTGTATTCGACAAAGAACATAATATATTCATCTAATATGATAGAAGGTTTATTGATAATGATTAACATAAAACTAGTGTCTTAGTCCTTCCGTTTTTCACGAAGATATGCTTGTTGTATTGCTATTGCTTGTCATTACTGTCGTTTGTGTTACTGTTACTCCTGTTGTTGTTGTTGTTGAAGTTGTTTTTTCTTTTATGAAACTGATAGTTATTATACCAATAATAGAACCTATAATCAATATGATCAGAACCAAACAAAGTATTATCCATATTAAATTTTTTCTTCGCCTAATTACGAATCTCGTAACAATTTGTTCATCATTTATATCGTTAGTTTTTGTTTGAAACTAAATTTTTCAAAAAAAAAAAAGTTATTTTTATTTTTCTTTAAAGAATTCCTATAACATACATGTTCATTATGAATCATAATTAATAAATTATTTTGATAGTTTAATAAATAATAATCTAGAAAAATTAGAAGATGATATTCTTGATATTTTCTATACTTACTTGTTCATAAAATGAAATATATGAAAAAAAAAAAGATTTATGATAAGATTTTTTTTCTATATTTCATTAGTTACTAATGTGTTACCATCTGTTTAGACTTTTTTTATGAGTGTATTTTACGCATATATTTTTGTAAAAGCAATAAGTTATCTTCGTTTTTGTATGGAATAAAGATAACAGTATGAAGTGTATCGAGATTTTCTTCTCGATATATATGATGTAAATCATAAATAAATTTATTTGTTTGATTATGATAAAAAGAAAAGCTATAGAAGTTGTTGTTATTTTTTTTAATGTACTTGTACTTTTTCTTAGTGCAGCCAAAAGTTATAATGGCAGCTGTTTAAAATTCAATCCTCGCTGTTTCATTTCCTCATGTGTTGACTTATTCTGATAGCGTCAACTGTTATGTATTAAACCACCTATACGAATTCTTCACAAGTGTCTATTAAGGCAAATTCTAAGTAGATTTTTTGGTTATCTCTGTTTTCAGATAGAAACAAAACCATTGCATACGCTCATATATAAAAACTCAGTTGTTATTAGATTGAACTACTACACAAATTTATGATGAATTAACTACTTGCATATGGATAAAGTGTTGTTTCATATCGTACAGTTGCTCATTGGATTCATTGATTTCCAAATAGGCGAGAGTCGTTGAGAGATGATCATTCAATAACCGTACTTACTCAACAAAGTATTAATGCTATTAAAGATCTAGTAAATGCTGAATTAAATATTACCTATGTATTCGATTTCGATCGAACTGTAACTACGTCGCAGTTACTAAAACCGCGACGGCAAAGAATAAGATTTTTATTGGATTAATATTCTTGTTAAAAAAAGTTCTTTATCTTGAATATTTTCCATAAAACTTGGTCAAGGAGTAATTATAAGTGAGGAATCTGAATCTGAGATCAGATTTTTATTTTAATATTTTTTTTTATGAATTATTAATAATTCACAATAAAAATGTTAGTAAAATGAAAATCTGGCCTCAAATTTGAGTTCGCGACCCTCGACAACGCTTCAGTCTCTGTTTTGATTCCAAAAAAAGTGCATTCAGACTGCGTATCGGTTGTAGCAGAACGAAATATGAACCATACTCTCACGAAGACTTCCTTTTATACGGTCGCTCTCTGGCTAAGTTTTGATACTAGAGTGTGATCAACTACAAGTAAGATGGCACTGTTTATGATTCGTTAATATCAGATACATTGGATCGTTGTATGCGAGTAATGCGGCGCTGTTCCGTTTATCTGTGTCGCAGTAATCGTAGTTTTTTGTCGCGGTTTGCATTACTATCAATACGCCGCAGTTACGCGCAGCTGCGACGCATGGTTAAAGAAAGAGACAACATGGCTTGTGCTGATTACCCAGGTCCAAGAAAATGGTGTCGTAAACACTGTAATAAGGATACAAAGCAGTACCGTAATCTGTCATACCAGATTACGGAAATAAAATCGGGCAAAAATGATGGCTGTTTTCTAGAGATTAAAACGGTATGACGGATTACGGCGAAATAAGGTCAAAATTAATGCAGTTATTTGTTGTTTTATAGCTGTCTCAGGCTGGATAAGACGCTGCTTCCCATGATCGGAATGATCAACCTGCATATATTACTACTGTCTTAGAAATACTTATCATACAAACTATCGTGATGAATACTTGAAGATATTAGTTAAAAATTTTCATAAGAAACAAAATACCATCAACAATAAATAGTATACATTTGCATTTTAAAAATATTTTGTATCGAACATTTACTGTAAACAGATTAGCAGAATGTTTTTTTCTATGAATAAATATTTGGAAGCGACAGAACGTTTTGGCTATATTGATTGATCCATCCGAAGAATTTCATAATTTGAAAGTTTTATCAAAGCATTGTTGTCTAGATGTTTCGATTCGGTCAGACTTTCTTAGAAACAAGCAGAGAAATCAGGTGAATTGTTTAATGCATATAAGTTTCACACAAATCGTCGTGTATCTATTGACACTATCGAAATTTTGATTTCACTGCGATGTAGGAATCTAAACTAGAAATAGATTCGTCGGCTCTTGACGTTGTTTGTCATCTAGAGCCCTGGAGTTCCAAAAAAATGGAACCGAGAACCGGATGTATTTGTTTCTCTTACCCGGAACCGGAGCCGAAATTTTCCTTGAGTGTGAAAGTTTCAAGATGTGTAGGTGTTGCAAGATGCACATTATATCAGTATCTTTCTTCATTCTTCCATGAAAAGTTTTTGTAGTAATTCTGGTTTTCAAGAAAAAGCTCTTAAATCAGTCAAAACGGAAATTATCAAACGGCAGCCTACAACACTATCTACTACATGTACAACTATTACTTCATCATCTGTTCATACAAATTCACTTGATTCTCAATCAACAATATCAAAAGATTCTCTTTCATACTGTTTTGATATGCCACAAAATTCCTTAACATTGTCAACCACCCCGTATGAATTAGATGAATGTATGCCATCGAATGTCTTATTCAATGGACATGATAATGTTTTATAATTCCGCGACAATAGAATTTAAAATTACCGATCTTATTTTCTATAGCTGAAGATTTTTATGCTGTACAAACATCGAACACCATTGTAGAAGGATTGTTCTCGTCTGTAAAAAACACAAGTATCAATAAGCGCATCGATCTTGGTGCAGAAAAAACATACTCCTATTGTTATTTTTTCAGAAAAATTTAACATTATTAAAATCATGTGATAAGAAAAATTGATGAAGTTGATACAACTGAAACGAAAAGAAAGATATTTGAACAGTCATCGTCTACAATCTCCTGTCCAAACTAAATAACAATCTACAACTATGACAACAAAAAGGACGTTTAGAATGAGTAACGAAGATGATATTGTTCATTGTGATCATGATCATTGAGAGGATAAGGAAATGATGAAGTAGGTGTTTTTTAGAACTTGTAATATTAATATTTCATATGAATATATTGTATGTTAGTGTTTTTATCTCATTAATTGACTTTTTCGTCTACCTTTTGATCGAGCTACTTATTCGATGAAGTAATAAACACGAAGATAAAATGTAGAAATTTCTGAAAAACCTCAATTACTCGGTATTTTGTATGTTACGGTGAAATCGTTGGTTTCTAGCAAAAATTTTAGGAACCGAAAAAGGAATCGCTTTTTTTCGATTTTGCTAACCGGAACCGCAGGGCTCTATCAGTAGGCAATACTGGTACTAGATGCATATCAAGACAATGTGCTTTATGAGAAATCATATCGGACAGTGTTTTTTTCGTCATATTTTTATACAATTTTGAAGCCGTTGAAAAGTGCTATCGAGTCATATGACTATTAGTCTGATCGACCTTTGAATTGACAGATAAAAAGAACTGATCATCCTTAACAGCCATTAACTATTTCAATCGGCCGAGACATAACACAAACGAGGGTTATAGATCTAACTCTACTAGAGATTACTTTGAAGCACCTTGAGTAAGAGTTTGACATGACAGAAATCATATTTCTATAGGGGAGTGATTTCATTAATTGTCGAGCTCCTTCCTTTAATGATGACAGTTGATTATATATTACTGATGTTGAAATAAGACATTGAATGTATTACTGAAATATGAAAATGGAAATTGTGCGAAGTCAGAAGCATTTATTAGTTGATATAAATCAATACCAAATGAAATTACAATCGAGAACTCTGGCAATGATATACAATTAGATAGTATTGTTATATTAGTTTCCGATTCTATATTTCATTATCTATATTACACGCATCATTCTTCGAATGATGACAAACATTCTTTTAAATGTCCGATAGGCACGGGGATGTCATTCTTACTGAAAGTCTTTCTTTTTCTTTATCAAATAAATGCACTTGCATAATAAAATTTTACTACGTCTAACGTCACACCATCACCTGAGGATGATCGAAAGAAAGAAAAAAAGAAAATGAATGATTTAAATCTATGTTGAAGAAGAAAAAAAAGCGAACAGAAAGTTATAAATGTTCCTTCTTCAAACATTTTATCGTTTTCTTTGCTTAGTATTATGCCATCATACCTGAAAGAATCAATTTCTATTTAACAAATCTGACAAGGCAATTGCTATTGAATTTTCTTTTTTTTTTCTATACTTAAGAAAGATTATAAAATAAAACCTAATAAAGCATATTTCCGAGTATGTTAAAAAAATAATGTTGACGATAGCAAGATATGAGCCTTGTTTCATCGTCTAATATTACCTAAGAATGAGATAAGTAACTTGCATAAGAACTATATATCATAAGCATATTATTCCTATATTTTTTTCTGTTCATTTGTTCTACATAAAATTAAACTTGACACATTGTTTTTTTTTTTTTGTTATAGATTGAAGTATGTTGGAATATAAGCCATCATTTCTTTTTTTGTTTATTAATTGATGAAGAAATAATTTTTTATTGAAGAAATCCATTCTCATTAACAAAATGAATTAATATCAACTTCGATAAAAATCTCTTTTTATTTGTTGTCTTTATGTACGAGTACAAGCCATCAAAGCAGCACAATCCTGTGATACGCATTGTATATAAATTATATATAGGTGTGGATGTTGTATATTAATATGATGAATTTGATTTTGTCTGTTTTTTTTTAATTATCATTTGAATAAAATTTGGTATTTGGTCGAAACAATATAAATTATTATTTAGTTAATGATAAACGATTCATTATGTTTATTTTATTTATAGAATTTATATTCATAAGATAAAACAAAAAATTATTTCTTTTTCATGAAGAGTAAAGTTGAAGAAAAAACCAGACAGAAACTTAATAAACGAGTTAACTTGAATCATATATATCTTATGTAATAACTACCGACGATTTTGAAAGTGTTGTATCAAAACGTAGTAAAATATATTCATCTCAGTTAATTTAGATTCTATCTAATAAATAATTCGAATTTTGGTAGAAAACACTCTCTGCAATTATTTATAGCTGAAACCGAAAATTGTAAGCGTGCGACATGGGATGTTTTATATTTATTTGTTTTTTTTTGAGGATGTTGGTACCAGAGATCTTAATGGACTGAACAGAGTTCGACCCAGTAAACTCAACTTCGGTCGAAAGTACAAAATATCGAAAAAAAAAACTTTATAAAAGTAAAATTATGAAAGAAGAACTGCTTTGAAAGACGTTATTATTGCACGATCAATATCGGATTATGGAGTGTGGGTGAAGAGAAGAAAAACCCACCAATTCCAAGTTATCATAATAGAGTAGATTCTCGTATTTATCGAAATCGTTCAAATATATAAGATTTACAAAATCGAATAAGCACATTATAATAATTATCTCATATCGAATAAAACGACGGTCGTCACGATGATCATTTACATACTAGCGGAAATAACTTTCTTTAAGACTGCCGATTTTTTTGTTTGTTTCACACTGTTTTTCATCGTTTTAATATAAGTGTTTTAAAATCATCATTAGATACTTTCTAATAGTCTATAATCTAGTTTAATAGTAAACATTTTATTTAAATAAAATATATTTATTTTTGTTATTTAGATTTATCTCAATCAAATGTTCAAGAGTAAATCTTTTATGTAAATAAACAAATATTGTTTATTGTGTTTATGGAAAGTTAGAAGGAGAGACTTATGCAAATATGATGACAAGCAACGCTGTATACGGCCGTTAACGACTGTCGTAATGCTCGTCCTGGGGTAGTAGATGAATAGAGTTATATGGCCCTGATACTACTCATCGTTATCCTTCGAAAACTACTTTAAACGGCGTCGTTTACGTTTCGAGGAAAAACGACCCGTAATTCGAGCTGACGGAAAATGGCGATCATTTTTCATTGCTTAGAGCAGTAATCACGTCGTTTTAGATGATCGGAATGATCAATCTGTGATAGCATTTTATCTCATCAAGAGTTTGTCTTGTATTATAGCAAAGAAAAAAGATTTTGATTGTACAATAGGAACATTATTTAAGGTCGATAAAACTAAAATTTCAAAGTATTTTTTTGTTTGTCTTTCATTCTTACTTTTTCAATAATAAATGTTTGATTCGAATTTTAAGCTGGTTAGTCTTTTAATTTTCTGAATGAGATTATATTCAGAAATTGTCATCTAAGTTTTCGACATTTTTTTGATTTTGACTGAAGTTGGAAAACCTCTGGTCAAGTATATGATACGAATCTTAAATAAAACAAAATTTTCAAAAAGATCTCTATGATAATAGTTAGGAAAAATCTAAATCATAAACTAGTTTTCTGATATTTATTTGACAGAGTAAATAATTCTGAGTAAAATGAGATGTCTCTAATCTCATCATGATATTTCTTCATTGAACTGTATTCAATTTACAGAAAATTCAAGGAACATTTTTCTTTTGTTCTTGAAAAAATTTCGAAGATTTTATCGGGTTTGACACTTTGAAGTTTTCTATAGACTGAATACAGTTCGATGAAGGAAGATTATGAAGACAGACGAAATATCTCATTTTTTCTGTATCAAATAAAATCATTTTCTAAAAGTTTCAAATAGATATGAGAAAAAAGATTTTGAAAGTTTTAGTTTTTCAAACATTCTCATTCAAGCAGTTAAGTTGGACTTTTTAGGTCTACCGAGATTCTTTTAGCTACTCAAATAGTTTTTTTTTTCAGATTCTTGTTAGTTATTACCATCGAGAAGGAAACTAAAAATACCACTACTTTAAAATTATGTCCATCATTATATGACGGTATTAAAAATGAAAAAACAAAACACATCTCTTTATGGTGAAAAGGCCTTGATTTCCTAATACAGTTTCCAACTGTATAATTTCTCCCATAAACAGCAACAAATAGAAGATATCATCTCATACTACACAAGAAAGCAAGTGATTCAGGAGTCACTTGATGTCTATCTGCTTCTAAAATTCGATCATTTCCTATTTGCTGATAATGCTGAAATGGAACTCAGTATTGAAGGCAAATGTTCATAGTTGTGAATAGATTCCTGAGTACTTTTTCATTACTATATAATACATCTTTACTTTTTTGATCATTCATTTTCCTCTTCATGCATTCATTTACTTTGTCATATGATTCTTTATCATCTAGAGATGAATGTTCATTAAAAACGAATTCTCTTAGTAAAACAATATCATTTTTCACTTCTGCGACCTATTCTCAAGTACAATACATTGCTCAGTTATCGTCGAATACGGTTTTCATTTCTATTAGAAAATTTTCAGGCCGGGACCTAATCGATAAAAATTTTTGATTCGAACCTGATTGATTAATATTGTGTGGGAAGAGCTCATCGGGTTCAAAAATTTCTGGGCTCAGACCCGACGAGCTCTAATTTCTCTACTTATAGCAGTTTGAAACATCGAGACCTCATTAATTGCCGTGTATAACCTCAAATCCTGATCCGATCCAGTGAGTTTGCACTCGAATCCATGGTGCGGATCGTGCCAAGCAGCCGATTCAGTTGCAAGACACTAAGTGAAACTTCTGGTAGATATTGATAGGCGTGAGGATGAAGAGAAC